GGAGGAGATGAGCCAAGATGTGCATCTTATTGCGATGTTTTCCGAAGGATGACATTCCTTTCATCATCTCCCTTCTGCGGCTGAAACCGAAGAGCAGCTTCCTCATTTTTAAGGAGCATTACATGTGGCTGGACTTCTTCCAAGACAGATTTGTTCCTTTTGGCATTTCATGGTATAGTCAATATTATACTCCAATATTATAATGCAAAGTTATCCATTCTTCTTCAGTCTTCCTATTCACACCCATGAGGCAACTGAAAATGCCATGACTTAGGTCAAGCCTACCTTAGTTCTTAACTCCACAAACTCGCTGCCAGTCAAGTCAATTGCAACTCATAGCAACCCTATAGGACAGGGTAGACCTGAGACTTTGTCGGAGTAGAAAGTATCCTCTTTCTCCTGCAGAGCAGCCAGTGGGTTCAAATTGCTGGGATTAGCAGCCCAACGCACACCCCACTACACAACCACTGCTCCTTAGTTTCCAGAGTGACATCTCCATAGAGGTCTTTTGCAGCAGAATTGAACAATGCAATACATCCTTTGATTTTTTTGACTGCTGTTTCCAAGTACAATGGAATCCTTGACTGTCTGGATTTAAAACCTTGCTCTTCCACACATCCTTGTACATTTGCAGCAAGGTACTTAATATCTCAAAACCTGAATCCTTAACCATAAAATGATAGCATCATTATCTTTATCATCATCATCGTGATAATTAAATGAACTCATATACTTACATCATTTAGAACACTGATGACTAGTAAGAGCTCATTAATTTATTAATCCCATTAGGGCAAATATTATTCCTATTTTAGAGATGAAGAAACAGAGGCTCAGAGAAGTGAAACGATTTACTGTATCACACTCTTATACAGCAGAGTTTCCCACAGGCTAGACCTTCCAACATGGGATATACTTTCTAGCCTAGAATGTGCTGCCTGATTCTTTCCATTCTATCACACCGTCTTGGGTATAATGGTCCTTAACAGACATTTCAAAAGATGTCCTTAGATTCCAGAAAATTAGAATCTTAAGGAAAGCTGTATTTTTGAAAAAAAAAACCACACTATACAATTACATTTATCTATAGACACACACATACATGAGGGGACTTCGAAAAGTTTGTGAGAAAATTCTCTTATATTTAAAAAATTTCCACAAGTTTTTTGAACTTCTATGACATATAGACATATATGAAGGCATGAATGTATGTAGGTACAGAGAGAGAGAGCGAGAGAGATCAGAATGGTATTGAGCAGCTTGTTAAGTTCCAGCACAAAATGAGTAGAACAATGAGAGATCACTAAAGTCAGAGCCATGAAAGTGGGCTTTTGGAAAACATGGCATGTCTGTTGGAGGCTGTGGTACTGGAGAGGGGCCTATCTCTTGGGCTTAAGAGATGAAGGGGAGTTCTTATGACTCATTGCTATCAGCAGCTGAAGCCATGTGACCTTTACAGCAGATGAGGAAAGCTCTCTGCAGAAATGCTGTCAGTCAGCACCTTTCACCAGGAACTCTTCCTCGCTTTCCACGTGCTTGAGACCTCAGCCAAGCAAAGAGACTGAAGGGGGAGCACAACTCTGTAGGGAGCACAGTGATGTGAGTCAAAAAGGCAGCTCCAGTGGCCTCTTGTCATTATTTGAGTCATCTGAATCTATAAATAGTCCTTCTGCAGTTGTTTATGTAAGATTTTCACACAAAGCACGTTTACAATTCTTTTAAACATGGCCCCTAATCACAATTTATCCTGACCTTAGAAAATGGCTTACAAATGAATTCTTCAGTACGACAACAGCCAGAAATGATGTGAAAATTAACATTCTAACAGCCAGCTCCAACTCTGACCATCCTCCAGGAGCAGTAAGAAGAAGATGTTCCCTCAGATGAAGACCAAAGCCCTAAGGATGTGTGCTGCTGCCAAGCTCTTTCCTCTTTGCTTTAGAGAGGCTTTCAGAGATAGCCCAAGTGTCACTTAAGATGTTTTGTGTTCATAATAGTTTTTTGTTTTGTAGTGTGGTTATAATTGATCTGTAAATGAATCTGTAGTGTGTTGGCACCTTTGTAGTAAAAAATATATATATATATCACCAGATTTCAGACAGAAGTCAACTCCAACCCCAACTTGAGGAAATGATGCCAGTCTCTTTAGAGTAGACAAAAACAGGCTCCCGGAGGTGGATGAGCCATCCAGAAACAGAGCAGAACTTCTGCCTCACTGTGACGTAAGTTCCTTAATATGGCCACCATCATTTGCCTAGAAGAATCCATGATAAATCATTTTGTTTTCTGATTGGTACATTGCCCCATCCTTTCTCCCTCTAAAGTCAATCCTGCAGGTGTTTTAAAATTAGTCAACGAAGTCCAAGAACTGTTGGGGCATCTGTAGTAACTGGGGCAGCAAGTCTCTGGTGGCCAACTCAGGGAACTCCAGACTCCAATTCTTTGCCAAGCTACTCATTTATGCCAGAAGATGGT